GTCAATATAAGGTAAAACAGTGCTTATCTGTCCTTGTTTTCAAGTGAGCAGGGGAAAAATGATAAATCAGGATGCAGATGCTTGTATTAACATGTTTCTATATAGCAGCGTATTCTGTAAACTGCCAGGGCAACCACATATTGTGCAAGTGCACAACACCTTGCAGAGGGACAGCAACCAGGATGTGTCCTGCTGGACTTTGCCAGACGTATCTGTGATGATTCCTGTCCTGAAAAAGACACACAAGAATGACAGCCAGCCAGCCCTCCCCATTTGAAGCAGACTTGGTGCAAAGAAGCTGACAAGTAGTCTGTGTCACACAAGATGCCAGGGCATCTCAGGGAGGAACAGAACCATGAGTGACCCAAACCATTTCTGACACCAAGTAAAATATCACCTCACTCGGGAATGGGACAACTGTTTGAACCATGAAAGATCTTTGCTCTTGTAACACACATCAGCACAACAAATTAATTTAAGATTACATTAAATGCACAGTCCATTCCAGTTCTGCTTCTCTCTACGCAGGTGGAGAAGATGTGGGTGCCGCTTACGATGGCTACACCAAAGGCAAAATTTCCTAGATGCACACCCAGAGCACTGACCATGCAGGTACTCTGCAAACATTCAAAGCTGTGAAATTCGACATGGGTCCCACAGCAACTCTGCTGGCTGAGCGCTGAAAATCGCACCAGAAAAGGGTCCGTGGATCAGACCATGAAAGCCAAAAAAGAGAACAGGGAGACCACGCTCTCATCCATCCACGCAGCTCAGTCATCATCACAGGCCTGCTGTTAGCTCCAGGTTTGGTGGCACGTTTACAGTCCTGTTCAGAGAGAATCTGGAAGGGAATCTGCTCCGCTGCTGGTGTAGTCTGATGACTGGGTGGGCAGCAGAGCCAGCCCAGAAAAGGGCACTTGGAGCCTGTGTGTGTGCTGCTGAGTCTCAGCAGAGGCAAACTGGGCAGGAAAGCAGTGGAATATGGCACACGGTCACAGCACTCCTAATACACCACAATGCCAGAACTTCTGCAGATGAAACCTGGCTGCTAAGCTGACATTGCAGCCTGACTACCTTTGTGTTTCCACCGACACGATGGAGGTAACGTTACCTGAGCTCATTGAGCACTGAACACCAAAACTTACAAGGACAGATCATCTCCTTAAATGAAGAAAGGAAAAGAAATTTACAATTTGTTATGATAATCATTAAAGTAAGTAACAAGAGATCATTTTTTGTTGGAGTTAACTATTCACCTTTAGTCAGTTTTGGCAGTACCTGGCTGCTTTCCCTGCTCCTAGTAAAATTATGAATACTCTGTGCAGAAGTTGAAAAATGTATTTTGTGCAAGACTCAGGCTCTGTTTTTCTTTAACAGTTATAAACAGACAATGATTTGATTTGTGACAACTTAATTTCCAGTTCCCTCGGTATTTTGTGCCCTGCATACTCTATAATTCAGTATCAAGGAACTTTATGGAGTAACCCTTAGAGCATTAGTAAGTTCCAATGTGGCTGTCAGCATAACCCTAAGTAAAACTCAGGACTAATTTTAGTACTTATTGGAATATGCTACTAGAAAGAAAAGGTCAAGGAAGGCAGTGCCAATTCGAATTTCTGGCTTGAACCCGTTTACTCCCTTGCAATAAGTGACACCCTTCTCCACCCATTCCCGTCAAGCAGAATAAATCAGAGCAGTAACATCTGTTTAAGAGGAGGAATTTTGTACACACTTGCAATGTTGTAAAATATTCCCCCTTCCCAAAATATATTCAAAACAGCACTTCACTATTCAAGGAGGAGAGGGGAGTGCATTGATATGATACCTGTCCTGTCTGTGCTGTCAATAATGTAGACAGCATACTCAGCTGATTCTAACCTGAGATGCTTCTCTTTAGCAAGAAAGAATCAAAAGATTTTTTCAGCAGCACTCATTGCCCCTGCCCCAGTGGGAAAGCTAGCTGCTGTGTTTCATGTCTCTGAAGGCAGCTGGGAATGCCTGCTCACTCTGTGGGAATTTTATCCTTTTCTGCCCTTTCTCCCCTTATTTAGAAGAATCCATCTTGCAAGAAGGAAGACAATCATTTGCTCTAGGTGGGCCTTCAGAGAAAGTCTTTGGCTTCTGAAAGGAAAATGCCTCCAACACCTTTCCTCTCAATACCCGAGGGGGAATCCGTACCCCGGAATAGAATTTTTCTTCTCAGAGACAAAAAAATTACTTGGCAGAACTAGCAGCAGCTCTCAGGGGCTAATCAGACTTAATCGTCTCCCATTACTCAGTTTCACAATAAATATCTCTGAATTTGAAGGGCATAATTCATAATGAGAGAGAGAGTCACGTTTCAGAGACAAGTGATCTCAACTGCCACTACACCCAAGCCTCAAACTTGCTCTCTGAGGGCACTTCACCCTGCATCTCCAGAATACAAACAAATGCGGAAAATACTTTTCTTGTGGAATACTTACCCAAGTAGCCACCTGTGATACAGGGATTGACAACAGAAAAACAGCAGGTGTGGGGAAATATGGAAAAAATATATATTAGTTAAGACATCCTGAAGGCTTAATTACTAATTCATATTATTAATGTTATAGTCTCTGTGAAATTAGCTCTGTGCATAATTTATCAAGGGCTATCAAAAAGCAGTGCAGATAACACTTACTGCACTTAAATTGCTATGATCACATGGAAGGGTTTCTCCCCAGAGAATTTCACTAGCAGAGAAACTGAGCTGACTAGGAAAGAAAACCTAATGCGGGAAATAACACATAATGTGTTGTCTCAGGTACCATAAATACCAAATAGTCTCAGCTACTGTTTAATAATATTTCATTTGCAGTTCTATGAAAGGCCCAGTTAGGAAAAAAGGCTTTCATTTACACATTCCAGCACCTTGATGAACATAACTTAAAAGGCAGGCCCTACGGAACAGCAGTATTGCCAATCAGTTGCCAGGCTTCTTCAGCTAAACAATGCCTCAAGATGACCTCTCTTCCTTTTTAGCAACAGCTACTGCAAAAGATTAATGTCATTTTTAGGAATATGTACGTATGTATACACACACACACACACATATATATATTGAGGGTTGGGTTTTTTTTGCAGTTACAAAAGCATTAAAAACATATACATTTATAATCAAGAGTTTAATAATTTACATCATTCTAAGCAGTAGTTAAGAGGATACTGGTAAAATAGGAGAAAGAATTGAATAGGCACATCGGTCTCATGAAGGTGATGAATACCAGCAGATCAGCATCGTGGAAAACCTCTGAGTATCTGCAACACAAGGCAAGCCCTAGAAAGTCAAGACTAAGAACACCATCTCCATCATTTCTGCCAATCAAGTATTCCATCTTTCTCTGACTGGTTTTAGTTTAAGGCCTGGCAGTGTCAAATGACATGTTAAGAGAAAAACTATGGCCACTGGCAAACTAAGACGCTCCTCTGGCAAAGGGGTGGCAAACAGACAGGCTCAGCTACCATGAGGAAGACCACATTGTCATACCATCTGTTTATTTAAGAAAAATTACTACCATTCTGGCTTCCTGTATGGTACCTCCTGAGTGTGCGAGAGAAGGTTTCTCTTTGAAAGGAGTGCAATTTTACTCTGAAAATCTGATACACAATTTCTTCCCATTCAAAGATCTTCTGAGTAAGGAATCTCCAGTTGTTAGTCACAGCCTTGCATTTAGTATTTGCTGGCAAGTAAAAAACAGAGAAGCTCCTTGAGAAGTATGGAAGTATTATTCAGAGAAGAATCCTTTCCAGCAGAAGCCATGTTGTCAGGTAGGAGAAAGGTAGCATAAACAACAGTAATACAAAACACAAAGCTAAAAAAACCAAAAAGCTTTAAAATAGTCATATAATTGTTAAGAGCTAAGAATGAAAGCCTGGCAATTGACAAGTAAGAGGTGAGAATTTAATCTGACATATGCTTCATGTAAAGATGCACCTCAGACCTATTTTTCTCATTTGGAAAAATGTTTGATTCGAATAAATCCAAAAAAGATTTTTCTGTGAGGAACAAAAAAATTTTTAACTACATAAGCTTAGAAATCTGAAAATGAACCTCAGGGAAAAAAGCAAGACAAAAAAATAGAGGACTTAGAAGAATTTCTGAAATTGTGAGCTCCTCTCATAAATAGCCAGAAAAACTCTCTAGAGGTCAAGAGTACCAAATGTTTCAAAATTTCCAATTTATCCTTTAGCAGCAGCACTAATTAAATCCTCACAGGAGGAACAATGTGGAAAATCTTCAACATCTTTACTTTGAATGTCACATGGTCTATGCATTAAGCAGAAAAACAAAAGTTGGCAAAAGCTGGTAAAATTATAGCAGTTCCAGATCTGCCCTAACTTGGGAATACTGAAGAATACCCAAATTCATGGCGGGGGGAGGGGCGGGGAATGCTGCACACTTAATTCTCTCAATTTCTCTAGTGGAAATGAGAAAGTGGCAGTTTTCTACTTAAACCCCACCTGAAATTTCCTGAAGCCTCAAACTAAGAAAGTTAATTTGGATTTAAAAATGTTCTTTTCAAGAGGTACAAAGGCGGCAATGCTGTTTTCAAAAGCATGTATACAATAGTGTTACCTGATGCTTAATAACTGTAATGTGAACAATACACGCAAAGTTTCTTCCTCCCCCACCTTAGAAAACACATCGAAATTCCTTGGATTGTATCAGATTTTCTGCCTCAAAACTAAGTTCTCTTTTTTTCTCTCAAATGCTCTCAATCTGCACCAATGACAGTTACTATGGATCAAACAGAGAATGTGATGTGATTCCAAGTTTATCCTATGGGGTATGTCTTAACATTCAACTGGAAGGAAAAGAATGCTTCATTTACATCAAACCCAAATTTCTGAAGTAACACAGGACCTCTCTGACTAGTCCTGAAATATGTTGTCCTTGACACTCTATTATTGTATTTTCATATATATACATATATTTTATTAACCACACACTTTTTTTAGAGAAGAAAACTTTACAGGAATTCTCAAATATCCCAATGATATTTTTATTATTCATTTAAACAGACTTGTACATCACACAGAGCTTAAGAGCATGATTATAAAAACCAATCACTATCCCCCTTTATTCTTTTCAGATCACAGAAGAGTTTAAGAGCTGAGCAACTTACACAGAGGTGATAGCACTTAGATTTTCTGAGGTCTTGACAATACTAGATCTCATAAATCTAATTCTCGGTAGAGAATCACAAATGTCAGCAGGCACAGAGGCGCTATTAAATTATCCCCATTTATCTTTCTAGAGTGCCTTTCTTTATTACAATACTTGATACACTCACATTTACAGTTCTGAGCTGCCCAATCTCCTCAGCCCATTCTCACAACACGCACAGCAACTGCAGAGACCCTTTTTCCTAAAACAAAGTAAGACCATCAGCAAAACTCTATCAGATTGTGTAAGTATCTTCTCAACATCTTTATGTAAACAGGAGTCATCGGATCTTCAGTAAAGGCAGTTTTTCCTTCAGAATAATAATGAACAGCTTTTGTTAGGAATGTAAAGAGCCAATATGTTACACAATATCCCCGTGTAATTCCTTCAGAGATTAAACTACAACATTAATGCTTGCTACAACAGTATTTATATATAGTCAATTGGCTCCATGAAGAGGAAATAATATGATTTATTGCAAAGAGTAGATGTCAGACTAACAGGTATTTAGAAGTCCGGTTGGTTATGATTTTATTTAAACAAAAGAAGATTTTAATGTTTTCATGCAACATTTGCACTTAAGTCTTAAATAATCATGACAAAGAGCAGAAGTAGTTAAGGAATGCACTAATTATAGACCTTAGTGAATATACAAAAAACCTCAGCATTATAGGTTATACAAAGTAAAGAACATCTTAAATACTTTCCCCAAATACTGCAGCAGCCTAGACACAGTGATATGCCTTACACAGGCACAGGAATGTAATTTAGAAATCACACGGGAACTACCCATTTCCTTTTAATTTCACAAACAAGACAAAAGCAACATTCAACTCCACACACTGATTTTTCAAATTATGCCTATACAGTACCTTGAGTTTTATCCAAATAGCAAAAGTTAGACATGTTGTTTATTTAGTAAACAATTATGCAGTAAATCTCTATTACATTTCTTCCTTGGCTTTACCTGGAGTAGCCATGTTATTTAAAAGAGGGCAGGTTTGGCACTTTTATACTGATGTCACCAATATTAATATTTCTTGGGATCTCTGGCAGATTCATATTCTTTACAGCTGAAACAGCCCGGGCTGGAGCTCCTGCTAAACCAGCCTGTGTATAAAGTGAGGAAAAATGCAAGTCAGGCAAAGCTGGTCACAAGAAGATTCACTAGCAACATACATAGACAACTAACTTTTCAAGTATTTCCATGGTTACACAATTAGAAAGACCAGATGGTAATTGTGTTTGGAATGAAATGGGTTATTTGGAAATATTAAACCAGAAAAAGAAAACAGTTCACACATTCCTTTTTGTATGGTAAAACATGTAATGTCAACTTGATGGAAAAGTACATGGGGAGGAATAGGAGGCTTATCCAAGCGTGTGTAATGTGTAGGTTACAGAACAGACAATCCTGAGATACCTAAGGTCCAATGTGCTGTCTTTGTCTCTATTCTAAAAGTTCACATGGTTCACAGCTGACTAACATTGATTACAGGTTCAGAATACGTAACCTCAAAGTAAAAAGTTATTCAACATCAGTTGAACCACTATTACTTAGTGAATATATGCGTATGGATACATATATAAAAGGTATTTCAAGGTGGCTTAGCCTAAAATGGAAAGATTAAGCACCTTGCAGTTGTGGGTGATAAAAAGCATGCAAAGAGATCATTTCTATAGACCAACTGGAGCACTCTGTTATCCCACAGCACCTAATTATATGCCAACTCATCTGCAGCCTGCAGGCACACTGGAACATTACATAATAAACTGAGATGCCAAATTAAACACCGAAGTAGCTATTGTGTATTAAAGTCTTCTACTGCACGTAGTCTCTTTTCATTTAAAGTCTGAGCCTTTCTGTATAAATATGCAAGTTTTACAATATAGAAGTAAGTTCATTACTGAGTTCTGTTCAGTTCTGCCTTTTAGATAAAATAACTGCCAACTTTACACACTAGGGCATATTACTGAAATGCTAACAAGGATGATTTACAGCTCAGAGGTCTGAAGACATATAGAACATGATCTTTCCTTATTGCTTCTGAAAAAACACCTCTTCAAAACCTTGTTACTTTAAGCATTACTAAAAAGGGCCAATAATTAAGTTGCTACTGTGTTTGAGGCTGTGTAGAAAAGGTACTATTCATTTTAACTATGGAAATACTTCTCTTAAAAGTTCAGACTCTCTATATGTATTTAGAATTAGTTGTGTGGTTTTCCTTCAGGCTTGTCACTAAAGTGTAAAAATCAATTTTGTTGTTGCTGGGAAAGGAAAATTTTGGAAGATTTTAAAAACAGAGCTCTTATTTGCAGAAAAAGACATCATATTTCAAGTTCTATGAATATGTAAAAAAATAACTTCTTATTTTGATGTTTTAAAAGTAGGATTAAAAATATTCAAAAATAATAAAACCCACAAAGTGATTTTCAGAACTACTACAGTTCTACAGTGTGGCATCTTGCAAGCCCAGTAAAAAGGAGCAATCCAAAATAAACAAAGCAACATGCAAATAACTGGCTAACCAAAAGACTGAACCTGTAAAAATGGAAAGTCTTTCGTTGTAAGAGTCAAAGATTAAAGAAACCAGTGCATTTGCAGATAAAATAATTTCTAGGGAAATACAGCAAAACAAAAGAAGAAAAACTTCTGCAAAAGTTTGTGTCTTATCTGCTCATTAAATGGTGTTGGTAGGCGACTACTGCTCAAAGTATCACCTTTTCAGATTCTTAATATTCACTGAATTTCATTGCAATTGCATAGTATAATTACTGAGAATTATACCTGACTTACATGGTGTCCACCTGCACTCTACTTTTTGAAGGTTGTGCAAAAAAATCGCTTCTCCCTTTTACTACTGTCTTACAAGAAATAAATGTAAGATCAAATTAATAAGATTTCCAGTTAATATGCTACCTACTGTTCTCCTTCTCCCTTCAAAAACATAGTCAAGATAAAACTAATTAAAATTTCCAATTTTGAAATAACCCTTTTTTATCACGTGGAAAGGCTAAAACATCATAAATCCCTAAAATTTTAGTCACAGGAGGATTCCCAGCACCAGGAAGAGACATCAGAAGGCCGTAAGTCATTTGTTGTAACATCCCCCCGCCACACATTCAGATATGAGACATGTCAAAGTTGGGAAAGGCATCTGGGGATAGAGAAGAAAGCTTGGAAAATCTTAACTCTCTAATGCAACAAAACAATTTGCTCACTTTGGCCCTGATATAATCCAAATTATTGGCTTTCAGAAGTACAGATTAAGTAAAAATAAAAAGGTGCAAAAAAGTATTTTCAAAGCCTCTTTTTCCTTAGTTGGCCTTACCATCGTCAGGTTTATCAGGTCATTCACTTCAGAGGCTGTTTTCCCCATCACAAAGGGAAAAATCTGGACCTGACACTAGTAGCATTAAGAAATGGAAGTATCCAAAATTAGCATCCCTGAATGAGCAGGAGCAGTATTTGACACTACAATTTCTTGTTACTTATTTAAAAACTATGCAGAAGACATGAAGCTTCTTGACACTGTCCTTTTGTATTTGAGAACCTGGAAATACTAATTTGAAATCAGGAGGCAACTATCAGTGAAATTTTAACAGATAAAACAATAAATGTTTTTCCTTTTTATTTGGTTTTATCCTTTAAGTTCTATAGTCAGTAACTGCAGAAATATTCCTTAAGCAAAACCAAGAGTGGGGCAATGTAAACTGTTTTCCATAGAAAAGATGAAAATACTAATAAAGTAGTAACAAAAGCAATGAATTATACAATTTGTAACTGAAACAATGGGAAACCAGAAAAATATTGTAAGTGATGGACATGGTCCACACAAACAGGCATGGCTGGCAATTCAAAAGAGAGATGCCTTCTAGGTGACTAGGATGGAGATTCCTTACCCTAGTTTAATGACAGTTAATTATTCTTAATGGACAAATAAAAGTTTTAGTATAACTGGTCATTATTTTTACCTACCTGCAGCTATCCTCTTTACACAGACTTACAGTCCCTGCCTCCCGCCCCAATGGCATAGGATACAATGGAGACACAATTGAGAATTATTTAAAATACCACAATTGACATGACCATTGCCCTTCCACCCCCCTATATAGTCACGACTTCCAACAGTCACATTTCACGAGGACCATTATGGATCAGGATCAGCGAAGATCCCTGACAAAAACACTGTTAATTTCAGATTACCTCTTTGGGTTTTTTTGTTTTTTTTTTTTTTTTTTTTGCCAGTGAGATTGTCGATTGTCTTTCACTATCATGTGCTGGAGTAGAGATTTCCAAACTATTACATTCTCTTCTCCTGTAATTCTCTAAATTAAGTGAGTTTGTAATTCAATGTATACATAATATGCACAGCAGAATGCTATTTGTTACAAAGTCAACCCTATCAAGCACAATACAGTCATACAGTATTTCTAAGAGAGAGCAAACAGTTCATAAAAAATGTCTGATGGATAAAATGACTGAAAAGCAATTAAACTCCCAAACTATATAACTAATACAATATTCCAAATGCTACTACATCCAAATGCCTTAGCATTCCTTTTTAGCATGTCAAACAATGAACTAGTATGCAGTCCTCCCATTTATTTATCATTTCTTTTACAGAAAGTGAACTGTATTTACAAACACAAAGGTACTCCAACAAGTACTTCCAGCCCAGTGTGCGTTTAAACAGTTTTATAGAGGTACCTGATTAAAAGAGCCATCACTGTAACATTGAACTGGCCAAGTTTCAACTGTCTTTTTTATCAAAAAATTCAGCAGGTAAGTTGGTGAGGTGCAAAGAAAAAACTGTTTCACTTGTAAAAAAGAAAAACAACAAAACATGTAGCAAGCTTTAAACATGCAGTGAATGATGAATTGTCTGTCACAGCGAGCCAATGACGTAAGCAAGTGAAAATGAAACTTCTTAAGACATATTAATGAAATTTCAGAAATACAGTACGAATTGCATACAGCTGGTAATACATTAAGCCAATACACCACATTTTTGCCACAGCTGCTTTGTATTCTCAATTTCATTACTGAAGGTTGTACTTTAATGTTGAAACTCTGTATATGAAAATTTTAGGTTCAGTTACTGCAAAGAGTCCTTTTAAACATGTTCATATACTTCTACAGTAAAAGAGCAATGCTACATATGCAAAACAACAATGCAATTTTAAAGACTGAAATAGATACATTTAATAACAGAACTTTTATTCTACTGGTCCTAGTCTATCAAGTGAGAAATATGAGCTGTTTTTAGTTTACTTGGAATCAAATTTCCTTCGTTCTTATCATCATCCTAACACCCCACAGGTAACTTGATATTAAAGTGATCCTGGAAACATTGTTTTACTCTTTAAAAAGAAATTCAGATCATTTGGGAAAAGTACTGCACACCATAAATGTAGTTAATATGCATATACAAATACATTAAAAAAAGATTCAAACCACCTTCCCAAACAACTCTACATTAGAGCTAGCTATCACTAAAATAACTACATAAAAATATACAGCCTACTGGAAAACAAAATAATGAAGGCTAAAACTTTGCAAAATAAGCTACCCTTTTCCAGATATTTCGGAAGTACTACAACCTCTCTGCTGCTGGTGTTTCATACCAATGCTTCTTTCCAGAATAAGTATGATTTCAAAGCAGCAGGGTTTATGAAATCATGAAAGGATGCAATACGTAATATAAAGGAATGATCATGTCCCCTGCTTATGAAGTTAAATAAATGAACATAATTAGAGAAAAAACAAAATGAAGTCTGCAAGTATATCAAAATGAGGCCAAACAGATAAGAAGACTTAAGACGTACTCTTAGAAATTTTAAGCACTTGAATCACAAAGAGAGTAATGGATGGGAATGATTAATTATTTGTTTGTTTGTTTTTCATTGCCAGACCCAAAAATAAAAAAGAACATGTGTGAGCAGAACAGAGAATAAGAAAAGTAGCTTTGCACAAAAAAAAACCAAAAAAACCCCTAAACCTGAAATCAAGCTCCCTACTGTTACAATAAAATGGAGATTATATATTACAAGTGTTGACATATTAGGCAGAGGAAAATCTTTTGCTTTATTTTCTTTCTGTGCTATAGCACGCTTCAAATTTAGATAAAATGTTTCATACTACGCAAAAATATTTTTAGCTAATGCTGCACAACTTAGTGCTACTAAATCCAATTACAAATTTATATTTATTAAATCTTAAAAATATTACATTACTTTATCCTAGAAAGATCATGTAAAAAGTAAAGAGCAAAGCTATTCATAAGTTAAATAAACTTCATCTGCAGTTTGAATACACAGATATTTAAAATGAGTGGAAATGAATTTTGAGTACTGCAATTAAAGTTGACAGACATTCAAACTGTTGAGCTGAACTAAATGCTTTAGCGGCAAATGATGGGGGACAATGACCGTAAACTGAGCTTCAAACATACATTTTCCTCCTCCTTTTTCAGTTCCTTGTTAGTATTCATGTTTAGTGACTGCAGTTAACCATGATATCTTAAAAGCAAAATCCAGCGATTCAGATGACAAGGGCAACAAATGTACCTCTGAAGTTGAGTACATGCTGACAGCCCTTCTCATTTTATGTTTTATATACTTCAGGTTGAAAGATCAACTTTGATATTTCTACATCATCTTTGCAAATTGCATTGATAATTTTATTCTGTATGTATAAAACTACTTGAATTTGTTGGTTTTGGTGGTGTGGTTTTTTTTAAAGTTTTTTCACCTGAAACTTCTCTCTGCAAGCAGGTAAAAGTTCTGTTTTCATTTGGAAGTACTAAATGGTGAAGCAAAAAAATTCAAACTACCTATTCTAGATTATCAAGTATAAAATTATCCCAATAAGAAAGCTATTTCTATTACACCATCATATAATATTTTGTTATCTGTGTGTTCAATTTTTGTTCAGGTTAGTTTTACAGGTTTTTTTGTTACTATAAATACAAGTTCATATACCTTTACTTCTTAAACAATGATACAAAGAAAAGTTAAATTCTAAAATGCAGGAAGAGAAATAAAATAAAAAATATGATGTCAATGGAAAGCTAGTAAAATACACTATAGCCAATAAAAAGATGAGGGAACTACAAGAAGAAACTAGCACAAAAAGTAGGCTACAAGGACTAGTATGGGTATTTTTACACATAATTTTTGAGTCTGGCCTACATAATTTATTGCCTTTGACATCATTTTGCTTTCCCTTTTTGTTAAAAAGTACATTTTGTCTAAAAGTCAGCAATACCTTTGTCTACCTGTCCTGTCTGGGAGACTGAAAGATAAAGGTCTGTAAGAGAGAAGAATGGAAAGAGCTAGAAAAGATCAGGAGGTTCGGAAAAAGCGAGGTCCAACTTAAAAGTCTAAATCACACGCAGTTGAACACTCCAAATAGAGAAGAGGTAGCCCAGGTTTATCTACAATACTTCCAGAGGCTCTGGATAAAATCCCAATGACCCCTCTCCCAAAAATTCCCTCCCTTAATCATAATGATCCTTTCGCTTTAGGAGGATTGACCAGAAATCCATTCACAGATATAGACTAAACTGAAAGGTAGGGAAATGCATTAAAGACAACACTTCTCAGGCTAAGAGCAGAATTTCCTTTGTAGCCCATCCAAGCAATGTAAGAGCTGAATCAGAAATCAAAGCTAGGGACTCCCTCATAGTGGTTTAAATAATTAATCTCTGTTGAAAGCATTAACAAATCCTTTGAGTTGATAACTTTGCTCAAATATTTGTGAATTTAAAAAATACATTTGATCTTCTTCACTAATTCTAAATGAAATCTGTTTAGAAATGTAGTACATAATTAAACAAACACTTGATGTCAAATGCCTACACTTTGTATCTTAAGTCAGGTGGGCATAGTACAAAATTTAAAATGTTTCTTAAAATGTAGCTGAGTTATGATTTTATTAGCATCATCATTTCAGCTATAAAAGAAAAGGCATTTTCACCTTAAAGCAGCTATTTTATAGATGCAAGGACTACGGCAGAGGTCTAACAAGCCAAACAGACTAAAGCGAGAGTGCTGTGGCATAGATAGCAGTCCCATGTACTACAGACTATAACAGTAAAATTTTCTAAATTTTATTTTTTTTCCTTAAATGAAACTAAGAAGATCCACTAGTTTTGATTTCTTAGTGAACAGCATTCAAGAATATTATTAAGTTATTACTGATTTTGAGTTACATGAACTGGATTTGCTTGTATCTTGAAGATACATGTTCAGGAAAGACATGTTGAAAGATTTACAATCTTGATCAAAAAGACAAAAGGAAAGGAAATAGCAATCAGGAAATTTCTGTGGATATACGTGAAACAAATGATTAATGATCTGAGGAAATAGTTACCAGGTACTGTGAAGTATCTCAGCATTACAGTGACTGTTAAATTTGAAAAGAAACAGTCACTGAACTAACAAAAAAAAATATGTATTTGTGGTGAGCAAACTGCGAAATGTTCTACTCCATCCCAGTCACCCAGCGTTTTAATTTATCACTGCTGCTTCTTTACCTTCTATAATTCATTGCTGAATGTAAACGAAAAAATTGCTATTTGCCTTGCATACCCTCTGAGCTCCACATGTTTTATTATAATAAAAGCATCTTAAAAGAGAGAATGACTTACTGATGAATAACGGAAAATAGCAAGTATTGCAGCTGTCTGCATTGAATTGATGTGTTTCAGATGACTAGTCAGAGACTGGTCTACAATTGATTTGGTAACAGAATTCACATAATTAAGATTAAATGCTTGTAGGTAAAACTGATCTGCACATAATACACAATAGAACACAGCTGCTCAGTAAACTCAGCTTTTCGGACACTGTTACTTTTCCATTAAATAAAGAAAAAATACATGTATACAGCAGTTATTCAAATATAATAAAAAAATTATGAGAATAATTCCAAATATTCATCTCTGTGATTACTAGCTTACTCTGAATTTTAGAAAAATGTTTAAATGAACATTTTTGACATCTTCCTAGTCTACAATACAATCTTTCTGGGTGTATACTGCTATGCACTATGACGTATCATACCTAGCTTTTTCCTGCTTTTCAAACAATATTGTCGTGTTCTTGCATACAGTTTGGAACATGTGCAAAACAGACAACTAAGTGTATTATAAGACTTGAAGTGGTGCAGTGTCAGACTGCAGAATTTTGGGAACAGTATACATTGTACTACAGAAAAAGCTGAAGAATTCATTTCTCTCTCTTTGTTAGAACTAGGAAGTTCTCTGGGTCTTCTCCTAAAATGTCACTTAGTTCACATTTATGCCACCTGCACTATTTCAGTCTACTCAGCTGACTTCAATTTTAGAAAAAGTTTCCAATTCAAGCAAAGGTTTGTTTAGAAATTTGAATAACTAGGCTTTGAAAAATCAGATGATGTGTTCTTCTGTGGAATTAATTTCATCAATAAGCATCAATCACAGACTGAGTTAAGATGTACTAATAGAATTTTGGTTACATGTCTGGTGATGTTAAAAGAACAGTAATATTCTATGTTGTAGCTAAAGTAATTCTAAAATCCCTTCTTAGTTTAGGTTCCCTTCTGAAACACGAATTCAATAACTGTTGAATTGAAAAGTGATTCCCACAACTTATGTGAGTATCCCTCACACTGTTACAGGCATGGTTTTAAATTCTATCTAGTGCATTTCAGTCAAATTTATTATTTTGTGTTGCAGTATTATTGTGATACTGAATATGCTGCCATTTATTTCACATGCTAGAAACATACTAGCAGACAGGAATATGTAATCTTTGTATACACAGTTGGTTCTTTATTTCGTTTAAGTGTAATAGTCACTAGTCCAGCATAATAAATACACTGGAAATAAAATGCTTTCTGCAAGAGAATCTTAGAGAACTACAGAAGCATCTCAATAGCAATAGCACACAATGCTATTAGATACAAATAGCAAAAACTAATCAGCAGTGACTCTAAGCAATTATTACTTGTGAAAGGTATGACATACTAGCCTAATGATACATTGTCAATTTTCAGCATTATAAGCAAGCAGCTGTATATAGTTTGCTACTGAAGGACAAACAGCATTATATAAACATGCATTTAATACAACCATGTTTTTAGTTTAGAAACTACACCGTGCATCACTCTTACCTCGGATTTCTCCAGTTTATTTTGAGCATCAATCTGAGTGACAATTTCATTCATGTTGGTCTCCAAAACCATTCCACCCATGACCATTTCGGCCAATATATTATGGACCTAAAAAAGATCAAAGAAATTTTAAAAACGTACAATGTCCTACACATATCTAGACAGATGGTATTAGATTCATTAATACAGGAACACATATATGCTGTAAGTCACTTAATTGATGTTAGTAATTTATTTAAAATCAAATGGGAACGAAGTTCATAACTTGATGTACAATTCTGCAGTATCTTCTGTGCTTGTAGTTCAGTTACAAACTCATTGGCTATACCACATTGCTTATCAACAGTAGAAGAAACGTTCACATTCATCTCTCTCTCAGTGTGTTTTCTATCCAAGGACTACAGACAAGAGCCATAACTAGCAGCAATAGTAGTAACAACTCTTAAGGAGCAGGTTCTACAAGATTAAACAAATTGCTCACAAACAGATGTGTAAAAACTACTTTGGACTACACCTGTGAAGGAAGTGATACTTACTCACCACTGGTACTAAGACTAAGCTTAGAAGTAGAATTAACATACTTGATCTGACCCATGCCTTAGCTACACCATAAAGAGGGAGTCTTCAGCATCCAAGACCAAGATTGACAGCTAGGACTTAAACTGAAGGACCTCATAAACCAGCTGGAGACATTAGCGAAATTGGTACATCTAAAATCCCTCTTCCCTGCAACCCTGATTTGGGGATGTGAGCTCCGGTTCACAAGTCTCTGCTTCAGAATCCGTATTTGCACTTTAGTTAAAGACTAATTTAAAAAAAAAAAAATGCTTCCACATACTTTCTAGTAAAAATCCAGACTTAATACATAATGTATAATATTTGAATGCCATTATAATTCTTAAAACAAGGAACATTTTATTACTTTTCTGAAATAAACACATTGTAGAATTTTATACTTGAAAAGACATAAATCTCTAAATGAAACAATGCTAAAGATAAGTTGCAAGTACTACGACAAAAAACACTACACTTGCCATTTTTGCGTCATACCTCAAAAACAGAACTGAAGTCTTAGTTTCCTGATAAATCATTAATATATTTCCATATGAACTTGCAATGAGTATCTTTAGAGAGGTTGAGAACAGTTCTTCTTCTCTCTGCACATTGCTGCTGAGTGGAGCTTTAAGAATCAAACACTTATGAGAAAGATTAACAATCCTTAATGAGCCACTCTCTTAGTCCTGGCATATATATGTCCCTCGTAACATATGAAGCTAAGAAACATAATAAACTTACATAAATTTGCATTTGTCTAAAAATATGCGAAGAATTATTTCACAGACACTTGATGAAAGATACAATATATTCAACAGAATCAATGGAAAAAAATACTGATTTTTTTTTAGGCAGTTGTCAGTTTTACTTATATGGAAGGCTTGATAATATAAGTTGATGATGCGAGAAGTTGACCTAAGATGTTCTTAGTATCAAAAAGAAAATATCAAAAGATGTTAATATGGAAATTATTATTAAAAAAAAAAATAAAATAGACACAAAAATGGTATTTTTTTTTCTTTAAAAAGTTAACAATAATCATTAATGGCGTTTAAAACGCAACACACAAACATATTTCTACCACTGGTGATGGTCATAAAGACTGACACTTTAAAGAGGTCTAGCTAAAGGTATTACTGAATCAGTGTTTAAGCTAATCAACACAGTATCAGGTTTAATTATTCCTTAGGGACAAGATGTGTTTTAAAAGTAGACACATTTGCAGCTTCAATCACAATCACACTTCTTGATTAATCCCCAACTTTTAAGCCATGAAGGTCATTTTGGTTATATTTCACTTTATTCTATCAAGAATTCACTAACCAACTATTTTTCACGTACTGTGAAGAACTGAGACGTTAAAGCTCTAAGATAACAAGCTGAACTCTGTACAACACCTACACCAAAATACCTGAAGAGATTGAGCATTTGATTAGGTTTTCACAAGTGTTCTGTTTTCTCTGGAATAAATTACAAGGTGCATTTGAAAAGAAATGTAATTAAATGATGCCAGTTTCAGCAGCTGCTTTTGCCCCCAGTAGTTAAAGGTGAGCTATTACAGTCCTGTCAACATTACTCATAACAGAGATAAATTTTTCCTGTAGAGTGTTACTAACATGGTAAATATATAATTGTCCTGGTTTGAGCAACAAGGGATTAATTTCTCTTTCGGTAATTTTACTTTTCAGTAAGGTCTTTTTTAATACTAGGGAAAACTGCTTTTCTAGAGGACTATAGTGTCTGAATTTGTGAAAATATTGGCTGCCATTTTGAGAACTTCTTGCCCTGGTGCTGGACCCCTCAGGCCTTCCCTTCCTCCTGAAGCCATAATGCTCACAGTGTCCCACATATGCTGTCCACTGCTGGGAGAGGGTAAATTTACATTAGATATTAGGAAGAAATTTTTCACTCTGGGGGCAGTGAGACACTGGAAGAGGTTGCCCAGAAGCATTCAAGGCCAGGTTGAAGGGGCCTTTGAGCAATCTCATGTAGTGGGATGTGTTCCTGCTCATGGCAGGTGGTTGGAACTAGGAGACCTTTAAGGTCTCTTCCAACACAAACCATTCTATGATTCTAAGATTTTGCATCAGCCAACCTCATAAAAGCCAAGTTATAAAATTGCTCAGGAACACACAAACACTTACTACTTCTCAAGTGTAATAAATGCTTTAAAGAGTAACTGTGGAAAGACCACAGGGGGTTACATGGGTGTCCAAACAAGTCCCAAATGTGACTAATGTTAATGTTCTCTATCATCACTTGGACTGAAGGACATACTAGACATCACCTAACATAGTACTTAATGAAACACACCTTCAACAAATGTCAGTGTACTGGGTTAAGTTTTGGCAGGGTTGGTGTGGTTGATTGGTTTTGGTTTGTGGGTTTTTTTCCAGCCTGGTAGAAGATGCAGAGATACTGCTCAATATATACAATAAGAGGCCCGGTTGGTACCATCACGTTAAAACAGTAGTGGTGGTGCAACAACTCTACCATAAGTCCACATTACATATGACAGTTCAGAGAACAACTCTATGATATGACCTATCTGATGCTTTTTGTACAATATCAAGACAGACATAAATTCAAGAAGTGGACAAGCTTGAGCGTAATAACTAAATCACATCCTCCAGAGGTCTCTCCCAGAGTAAATTGTTCTATGATTCCAAGAACAATGAAGCTGAACTGGTTTACTATTATATAAATTAAAAAGGTTAAAAAAAAAAAAAAAAAAAGCGCTTCTTGAACAGATAGACCACTGATTGCAGGCTGTTGTAGCCCAACCACAGCAACAAAAGAAGGCAACAACTGCATGGTTCCAAGAGAAAGAATTTGATTTATGGGTTCAAAGAATGCATCTCACCAAGGTATTAATTACCCTTGGTTTAAGATCTGAAAGAAGTCCTTAACATGCCAGCTAGGTAAAGATAAGAAATGCTTGACAAGGGAACACTGTTTGCAGAAGGCAAATTTCAGGTTTCTGGCCAGTTGTAGCATTGATGCCGTAACTGTACAGAACATCAATATACTTGTATGACTAGCATTAACATATAGCCTTTGGCAGTTATTGCCATTATCCTTACTATGGTGGATGCAGTGAAGAACTGCAATGAATAAGATTCTGAATACAGCTTCTCACATACACAAAAAATGATCATAATCCAGATGTGTATATGGAGATTTATCAATACTAGAATAAAGAACTGCAAGGATTTTTTTTTCTTCAAGCACACTAGAGGAAGTCCTAATATTCTACATCAAAACATTAAGAAAATACCTTCCTTAATCCTTTTAGTTGTGAGGAAACTATTTCATTACTCATGGTGTTTTAAAGGACTGCTTTATTATTATTTATTAAATATTAATACACCTTATTACATAGGGTGCATCATCAGCAAGTTCGCAGATGACACCAAGTTAAGCAGGGGTGTTGATTCCCAGGAGGATAGGGAAGCCCTACAGAGGGACCTAGTACATAGGGTGTATCATCAGCAAGTTCGCAGATGACACCAAGTTAAGCAGGGGTGTTGATTCCCAGGAGGATAGGGAAGCCCTACAGAGGGACCTAGATAGATTGGATCATTGGGCCAATATCAATGGTATGAGTTTCAACAAGGGCAAGTGCCAGGTCCTGCACTTGGGCCACAATAACCCCATGCAGCGCTACAGGCTCGGGGCAGTGTGGCTGGAAAGCTGCCTGGAGGAAAGAGACCTGGGGGTTCTAATTGACAAGCAGCTGAATATGAGCCGGCAGTGTGCCCAGGTGGCCAAGAAAGCCAACGGCATTCTGGCTTGTATTAGAAATAGTGTGACCAGCAGAAGTAGGGAGGTGATTGTGCCCCTGTACTCAGCACTGGTGAGGCCACACCTGGAGTATTGTGTCCAGTTCTGGGCACCTCAATACAGGAGAGATATCGAGGTGCTGGAGCGAGTGCAGAGGAGGGCAACGAAACTAGTGAAGGGCCTGGAAAACAAATCATATGAAGCCCTAGGGGCTGAAGGAGCTGGGACTGATTAGTATGAGGAAGAGGAGGCTGAGGGGAGACCTCATCACTCTCTACAACTACTTGAAAGGACACTGTAGAGAGGTTGGTGCTGGTCTCTTCTCACAGGTAATTAGTGACAGAACGAGAGAGAATGGATTCAAGCTCCAGCAGGGTAGGTTTAGACTGAACATCAGGGAAGAATTTTTCACAGAAAGAGTGGTCGGGCATTGGAACAGGCTGCCCAGGGAGGTGATTGAGTCACCATCCCTGGATGTGTTTAAGAGCCATTTAGATGTGGTGTTGGGGGATGTGGTGTAGGGGAGAGCTTTGTAGAGTAGGGTAGATGGTTGGACTCGATGATCCCAAGGGTCTCTTCCAACCTAGACAATTCTATTATTCTATTTTGCTCTCAGAAAGCCCGCTAGTAAGTACACAGTTCAAATTAAAGCACCACGATTTACTGCTGAGCAGCTGTATCTATTTCATGTTCAGTGTTTCACATTACAGTAGATACACATCATAAGATTTATCTTCCCATCATGCAAGTTGTCTTTAAAAACATGAAAATGAGAATTTCTACTTATGCTCAAGGATGCTTAAAAAAAAAGTATTAAGGCAGACGCCAAACGCACCTAGTTCATTATTACATTATTATCTGGTTTCAAAAATTCACCAATTGACACAAAATTATGCAAAAAATCTTAAGGGTACTATTTATTCTGATATAAGTTCTCTGCTTCCAAATCTGTCCAACTTAACGATTCCTGAAACACAGACTGTTGGCTGTTTCTTGCTATATTACTGTATTTCATAGCCTTTGTCAGATTTTCATTTTGTTAATATGTCTAATCACTTTTGTACCTATTTATAATGTTCTCGGTATCTATGATAAAACAGGACAATGGCATTCCATAATCTAATTATCAATCATGAAAAATACATTTTCTTTTTTTCAAACTTAGTTCCTGAAATTTTATTTTATATGCCACTGTTCTTTATTTCTGAGAAACACAGTTGTTCATTTTCTTCAGACCCTTCAACACCTTTTTTTTTTAATATACTTCTTTCTTCTCTGCCTCCAGCATCTTGAATATTTAACAGCTTCTTCCACGCAAGCTGTTCCATACCTTTGATCATGCTTCTTACCCTTCTCTGTGTTTTTTTCCCTACTTTTTGTGTATGATATGCAAGTCTTACATGTAATATTTGAAACTGTTTATCAAGCATGGATTGACACTGTAGTTTAACCATTATTTTTCTTGGCCCTTTTTTCTTCTAAAGGTGTGATTTTCTAAATAACAGAATAGAATTATTTTTTGCTTTCTTTTTTATTGCAAATACATATTAAATTAACAAATACACATTATTTTCTCTATTTTTTTTAATTAAAATTTTCACTAGTTCTTTTCCTAAAGAAACAAAAAAAGATTATGAAAGCACTACGTGGCAATGAAGTGCAAAGTTGAATTTCAAAATAGTGTTTAAGTGAAAGAAGGGACAAGGAATATTCCTCTTATATTTATATTCTAAAAGCAATCAAACTGTAGAGAACATCAACTTTTCAAAATTTGAAATTGCCATTTTGTAATAATAATTGAGGGGTTTTTTTTACAAAAATCAAGTGCTTCCTACTTCTATTTGCTGTCTGAAAATATGGATACATGCTTCAACAAATGTGGAGAAGGAATGCATCAAGAAAAAACTCTCCCAGGAAGATCTGGTAAACATATTTCCTTGTCTTCAAGCCACAATCTGATTCTAGAGGGTCCATTGTTTTGGTCAGATGACAAACTCTTGGAAGAGATCATGATACTCCCAGGAACTTTTCAACAGGTGCCAAAAACTTGTGGAAAAATAGAAGTATTTCCTTACATCTCCAGTATAGAGAATGTATTCTAGTATTTTAGTTGATGCTTATGAGATAGCTTTCAGTGATGTCTTTTCCATGAAAAAGCATTACACTCCTGGACTCATTGTAGGAATCAGTACAGGACTGAAATAAACCTCCGACTCTGGAAAATGTTTTGCTACTGCTATAGCAAGTTTGGTTGGTTGGTTTTAATACAGTTTTTCTGTAAAGGAGAAGCCCAGTTATTTCCTGTACAAACTGCACTCCCTGACACACCAAGTCTTCACCTGCTACAGCATATAAAAGCCACTATCTCATTCCCACTTACATTCGATTCTCCAAATGAATTTCTAGTACTATACCAATATTCTTGAATAAGCATCCATCTTGGCTCCAGTCATCACTGGGTCCTGTATAATGGTGGCTGCCTGATGAAGGTAAATGTTTCCTTACAGAGATGCCACCTAAAATGCTACTAAAGGGGCAACAGCTGTTGAGATTACATAGTTTAACTCTTTTACATGCTACATCATTTTTTACAAGAAAAGTATTTCTTGTTTTTAGGCACTTCTGGCAAAAGGACTAGAAGAAAGTCATCTTACACAACTCCATCAAGAACTGAAGACACAGACCAACTCTCCAAATCAATTAGTAATTCCTCACTTTTCTCAACACCAGACCACTCAAAATACAAATATTTGGAATGTTCCACCCCAAGCAGCTTCCACATGGAAGTATCCACTATAATTAAAATTCTGTCCAGACCAAACATCCAGCAACAGTTCCTGTTTTTCCCTAGTGCACACTTGAAATCTATTAACAAGCCAGGCCTCAAATATCTGACAAGAGAAAGTTAATGTCTTAACTCAGAAGACTCAATGCATTTTGCTTCTTGAAAATCTGCCATTTTGGAGATAGACAGAGTGTTCCAACCAGGCTAGAAATCCTAATGACTTGTCATGAGAACGGTATCACTTCAAACATCTGCTCAAGGTCATTTGCATTTCACTGTCTGGTCAAGGTACAAGTGTTTCTTCCAAAAGAACTTCCTGATTGTTAAACAAATTGAGTCAATTCCAAATGGTTAATTTCATATACTTGTTATTATTTTTAGTCCACTTTTAGTGATTTTTGTCTTATTGTTCTTTATGTCTTTTGCTATTGATGCAGAAAAACATCCACAGATGGGGAATGGTGACTGCACAGAAAGCAATAGAAGGCACAAAATGCAACTGAAGGAGTAAATTCTGCATATTCAATTCTCAGCATTTTAGGTATTACATCAAGTGGTGCCAATGTCCTTTTAAATGAAATACTACTATAGTAATAGCATTTCTCAAAACTAGATCAATAAATAAAACACTTATGCCTGATAGCTAGGAATATTCAAATAAGATTGTTTCTAGATGTGTGGAAAAAAAGACATAACATCTTTTTGGTATTTAGAAGAGAAAGAACCATACAGCATTTAAGTTACAAAATCATAGCATTTGAAAGGCAACTACCAGCCCCAACTGGAAAACCCCATTACAGTTTCAGTTTTAAGTGACATAACGCCTAACCATAAACAAAACAAATTATTTCTTGAAACTAAGTACTACTCTGAGAATATTCGTGTCTCCGGTTTGACAATTATATGTGCAAGAACACTACGCACATCTCGCACATTATTTTATTTTTCCTCAGAAACACGTTCCACCATAGCTTTCAAGTCTTAAAAATAATACACTGATAGAAACTGTCTAGATTTCACTAACAATAGACGTAGAATCACTGAAGAGTTTAATATCAAGTATCAGTTGAACCAAACATTTTACTTGACAAGAAATATTACAGAAGCTCACCACAGTACCTTGTCTACATGGAAAATTAAATCCAGTTCACAGACATTTTCAAAACATTTGTCTAGTGTTTCCACAAATACCTGCAAAGAGGGAAAAAAAAGCCAGATGTCAAGCTTTAACAGAAACTCAATAGTGCCATTAGGTATGAGGTTTAACAAAAGCAGATACAGAAAATATACACTAGGCAGATTTTAAGGCAATATAAGCATCTACAGAAATTATGTGGTTAACATTATTATGCCAACAGCGTATTATTTGTAGAGGGCAAAACTATATGCACAAGTCACTTTATGTTCTAACTGTGCTAAAAGTCACAAAGCACACAACTTTAAACAACAGTTGTATCTTAGGAAAAAAAGATCATCTATGCTCATCTAAAAGATCATCTATTTTCTCAGCTGTGATTCAAAGTGTTCCTTCCCATTTCATTACAATCGGCTAGTTTTTATTCTCATTAATTGTAACAATTATTACATTGCAGGCATCTGACAGTTAACCAGACTACTGTTAACTTTGCCACACAGACGCAAGTGTGCAATGCAAACTGTCAGCATCATGCAAGTTTGTCAGCATTATGGCTTCCAGCAACAGTACAGCAGCTTTCAACTCATTTAGACCTGTTGAATTCAGGATGGACCGAGGAAAAAGGCAGCTGTCTTAACGTCCCACCTGCTGATTCTGTCATAAATTTAGAAAAGTCTAACAGTTTCTACCAAGGCAAATAGCTCCTCCATGAATCTAGAATGTAAGTGCACAAAGCAGAAAAATCAACCAACTGCTGAAGTCCAGCCACTGATGATCTCTGCTGGATATGGACCGTATGTTACCCTGCTCTGGCTATTGCTGTAACAGATTCCTTGGTACTCGTGTTAGCCAGTTTTGGTACACTAAAAGCATCCCAGCTCCCAGTTAGGCCAGAGAATGAAAAGATGACTGTACTTGCACTCCCTAAACTCCTGAATGCCAACCACCATGGGCTTGTGGCAAGTGCTGACAAAGGCTCCAGTTTTGGAAAAGCACAAGCACAGTGCCCTTTATTCAAGGGATAACTCCTACTGACTTTGATGAGATGTGTCAAGACCTCTAAGTTAAACATACGCTTAAGACCTTAAGCTTAGGGTCCTCAAAATTAAAAAGAATTTCTGTAAGAATTTACAGATCTTTTACTAATGACTAGTAAAAAAGCTGAAACTTGTGGAAAACTCTAATCTCAGTTTTATATGTTTCAAAGCTGTTTTGTCAAATATGCACTTAAGTTGTCTGTATATGTAAATTTTTTTTGCCATTTCAAACTCATACCCTAAAGCAGCAATATGAGAAAAGTTAAACACCTGGTTTTGATTCTCTCTCTTTTCAACATGGTTTATTCATCCCATCTTAGTTTTTGAGAGGAACCAGATTTCAAAATGCCTAGGCACAGAGCAATAGTAATGAGAAATCATGTTCTGCTGAGAAAAATTAAGTGATAAAAGGCCTGCTTCTATAGATACATATTTATGTTTATAGACCACTGAAACAGGTCTACTTGACATTAGCCATTTCCAGTTGTTTATCTTGCATATCAAGAAGGATTACTCTTGTGTCTGAATCTCTGGTCTCAGATCCTGCTAACACTATAGAACAGAAGAGGATCCCACTCTACTGTTGCTATTACTATTATTATCAGTCACCATTTTAAAGACAAACTACATCTAACTGATGTTCCATGCATTTAGAACAAGGATCATTCTTCAACACCAAAATAACTTAAACTAGGAACAGAGAGCATTTTCACAGGCAAACTCAAGACAGTAAGGTTCAGTGACATCAGCTAAATAAGTAAGTGAATACACATGTTAAATTATACTGAAACTAGGCAAAGCAGATCTTTTTTTTTCTTTGAGTACTTGTTAATTTTTTTTTATAATAACAGCCTTCTATATAGAAGGGAGGCAAGTAAACAAAAAACTTTTATGTTAAGCAGAACAAACCACACAGTTCACAACTATGTGCTGCAAGACAAATGACCAAAGATTTGGACTCTTACTTTCCCTGTACCTTAGGAGAATGTGGTTACAAGGACAGTGCTGTTTGCTATTAGCTGCAGGAAGAAGATAGGAAATAGTGTGTAAATGTAACCTTTATCCAAAGGTTTCAGTTATAAGCACTAACAGTTTGACACTATTTTGGAAAGAAAAGAAAATATTCCTCATATACATCACCACGTTTGCACATGAACTCACGTACTGACCTTGACATCCAACTAGTTTCTTGGAAAACAAAGCAACATGTTAAAAACAAACACAACTCAAATATCCTCAGAAAGGCCCCCATAGATATGTGTATTTAGTAGCAGGCCGTACACGCACACATGAACACCACAAAAGTTTTATTTTTGTGTCCTTCTTCCATATAGCAACACTTGGTTACAATGGTTACTTTTAAACCTTTACCCATTACATAGTGAGTCCACCACACACTGAATGAAATCACAGATCTCTCCCTGCAACACGTGACCAGTAATGCACACAATTTTTTAATCTAAGGGAAATCAGCTGGCACTGGTATTCTTCAGAGATTTTTCACTGGCTAAGGATTTCTCATGCAAACTTTCTCAATCTTCCACTCACAATGAAGAGTTCCCTCACAGTAACACCAGCACTGTGACAAGGTGCGTATCTGTTACAAATGACTGGTCTTTAAAACCATTACTCTACAAGGTAAACTAGATTTTCGACACTAACATTCCTTGACCTATTTTAAGACATACCACATAATTGATGTGGTAAATAAAACTAGAGCCACTTTCATCTTCATTTTAGTTAAGAGTCTAAGGAATTGCACACTATGCAGTGCTGAAATTCTAAGCACTTCAGTGATTACTTCAGATGCTGCAGACGGGTAGATCAAAATAACCAGAAGAGAAAACACATCAATTGTTTCAGGACACACACACCACACATCAGTTGAAATGCACCTTGTGACATTATTGGAAAAGACATATAAATAAATGAGTCAAATTGCAGGAAAATAAGGATGGATGTACAATAAGTTACTAGCTCCCCCTTGTGCTTAATTTTTGAAATCATAATCTTTCACCAGTCAAAGAAAACCCCATCCACATCTCCACACAAGTAAACAGCAAAAAGAAAAAAAAAGAAAACCCCACACCTTTCTTTTGTAGCAAATATGGTTTAATAAAGCCAGATACACAACTGGAAAATAAAGTATATGAATCAAAATACCATATTGTTATTGGATATAAACAAGTCAGGAGCTCCCTATCCTCAGTAATACGTCAAAACATAAAACACCACCTTTACCATAAAGGGCTCGTTTTTTGATTAGGCAAATAAGAAAACAAAGGACTAAAACATACATTAATAGTGGGAAAATAACAAGGCTAGCAGAAAAATCAGAATATGTATTCAATTAAATGCATCGATGTTAGATAATGTCAAATATTAACAAAAGCAGTACAAAAAATAAAGTAAAAACAACAGGAGTAGCTGGTATCAAGAATATCCCATCCTTCTTCTAGGCTAAAGAGCAATGCCAAACCTTAAGACAGAATTAATTCCATCTGCCCATGGAGACCCCTCTCCTTCATTGCTTTTGACTGTTCAAACACTACTTCAGACTTCAACTAGAACATAATAGTCTGATTATATACCAGTTCTCCATAGACGAGACCGGTTTCTCTTCTGTTTTAAGAGCTTTAATAAGTCATCATTCATGTATCATTGCAAGCATATGAAATCAACTACATTGTTTCCACAGCCTTTCTAATTCATAAATCCTTGGCGAAACTGTGGCATTTTCCCCATAGTTGCACTGACATCCCAGTTTTCTTTCAATATATTTTTTTAAGCTAGTCATAACTTATACAAAGAATGCCAAGATTACCATGTAAGGGAAAGACTATACAAGTCCTGATGATTAGTCAAAACAGAAGTGTGCTAGATCTTTCAAGCAGACCTGCCAATAGACTTAATGCATTACCAATAAGGCTTTTTAAGCCAAAATGTTCTTCTTTATTCCCATCCTTTATTTTCCACCCAACTCTAAAATTAACTGTGTTAACTTAGAATTATTCAGGTATTTTTTCTGCCAAGATAGGTATCCAAGTCTTACGCCTCTCCCTTTTTTATTTAATTAGCATAAAAGCATCTCTGGTTAGGATGATTTATCTTTAAGAACTGAGAAAAACATCTTTCATTGATTGCACTGCATTTCCCCTGTGCATCTTACTGAACAAAATTATCTTGCAATGCTATATACAATCTTTCACGGAAGATTAACCTCACAGATTTAGCTTTTTACTGAGTCAGTATGTCTTAGAAGTACAGCTATGGGCTAAAATCCTCAAAAATGCTTAGAGTTGAATGGGCTTTTATGTCCATAAGATAGTTAGGTACCATTGTAAATGTCACTCAATTTTTCCTTATAGCAGTCTATCACTACTTTTATTTTCTTATGTACTCTATTTCCATGCACTATAACCTTACACTTCACAAACTAAGAGTTTAAAATAGCTACAGTTCATGACATAATTTACACTGAATCCAAATTGACCGCAAAACCTACCAAGCATAGGTCAGTATCTGTTCTATCTCCCAAAACCAGTAACAGAACCTTCTGTTTGTAAAAAAAACCAAACAAACCAACCAAAAAAAAAAAACCCACACAAAGAAAATTGACAAAAATTAGAATTATGCATTTGCCTGAGCTGTTCCAGTACATCTAGTTGGAACACAGTATAAAATCTGAAGGACCGTCTATGATTTGTAGCATTAAGCCTGAGCCAAGAAGACTTACCTGTGAAATAGCTCTGTCCTAATGACCTGAATGTGTAAGTGGCTTTCACAGAAGGTATCCTAAGTATTACAACACAACCTTTAAGCTGACTGCCACATGTAATCTAATGTATTATAGATTTACTCTGTTTACAAGACAGAAAACTCTTAAGTCCTAGACTAAGCTCTGGGTTCATTTCACCAGTTTATTTTCATGAGATCATAAAGAAGTACTTATTTAAACAATTCAGTGTACGCATAATTAATAACAAACTCCAGATGACTTACTCTTACCTGTGCTATGGTAAACAAAGATGTACGAAAATGGTTCAGCACTTCTCAACAAAAACCAGACAAAGTTTGTTTGCCTGAGTAGATGTGTATGTGTATATGTTGCCAGTCTGCATTGCAGGTGGGGTTCACACATTATAATAAACATTCTGAGGGCACTTTTCCAGTGTAAGATACATTTAATTCTGATTACTATTGCTAAGAGGATTTTGTGAGCCAGACTGGAAATTAAAAATGTTTAATTAATCTCTGTATGCTTTCTCCTATAATTAAATGCTTGAATTACAATGACCTAGAGAAATGGGAGTACTGAAAAAGCTGCAGGTACTGTGGTGAGACTATCTTTATAAACAAAATCATACAGGTCTGAAAAAAGTAAAGTATTTCTATGAATAGAAATAGTATTTCTATTATTTCTGCTTCCCTCCAGTAGTTATACTAGCATGTAATTAAACACTGGGGCATAAAGGAAAAGATGTGAAATAAAAAAACACTGAGAGATTGAAATCCATCAAAGTACTTCCGGCACAAGAAGCAATATAATTTAGAGGAAAGTTCAAGATCTCCCTAATCCAGAGAGTTTGAGGGCTATGCAAATATAAGTGGTAGTAGAAAGTTCAAGCAATTTGCTTCAGCACCCTCAAGTAAAATTTAGGCTACAGCATGTAATTGGAAATAATCAAGGCTACTGATGTGACATTCTTAATAAATTTTTTATGTGCAAATTTAAGTTGAAAAACCATTGATGTAATCAGAGTTCTCTTGATATAAGAGTGTTCATATTACCAGACATGATATTTGTTGCTGAGTTGATACAGACATATTTAACAGGTTAAATCATACATGCTGCATTGAGAGCCTTGAAGAAGACACTGTATTCAAGGAGCTAGTCACCTTGAACACGCCATGTCTGCTCTACTGGGCTCAAGAAGCCTGTATCTTATTACTGTGATCTATAACTTATGTCTTTAGGAAATGTAACCTAGGTGGATCAAGGAGTGGAATGTATTGATCCTGATCAAAAGACTGCTGCATGTTTAGGAGTTGATGATCCATGTAACATTTGACCTGCGTAGGAACAGTCCTGTGCTGTGCTGCACAAACTCCATGGCTGAAGGATGAACTCAGCCAGCTCACTGTAACAGAGGAGCCTGCAGGCTCCTTCAGTACCAATCACCGCTCGGTACTGGTGATTAAGCCACCTACACCGACTTGTCTGTACCTCAAAGTGCAGCAAGAAGTTCTCCTGAGAATATTCTTTAGGAATATTCAGTTTTCTTGTGAGGAAATTATACATTAACTTAAAGGTCAAAATTGGGAGAGCTTTTCTCTGTGGACAGAACCTGTTCTGCACAGCTCACTGTGGGAAAATCTACTGGGGCTCCACTGGATGCCGCATGAACTCAGGATGCCCAGCATCTGAAGGGATGTAAGATTTTTAGATTCCTCTTATTTTCTTTTCTTAAACAGTCATCTTATTAAGCTGTTGTTGTTTTTTTTTTGTTAAGCCTTTTTTGAGATCCAGAGAGAACCTGTACCACCTCTCCCCATCCACCCCATCTGGTGGCGAACACAGGCCTAGGGCAGCTTTTGCACTCATTTTCTAAAGTATACCTGAGCAAAAGCTCGTAAGCCACAAGAAAAGTTTAATCCAAAAAGGTTTTGGATATATTAATCCATTGTATATTTATAGTAAATACATATATATATATGTGTGTGTGTGTCTATGTGTGTATATACATGCACACAGAGCTTTACATATAAAGGTTCTCATAATCTAAACTTGCCTAGCAAACATTTCAACTGCACCATTTTAACCTGCAGCCAAAACAAGGCCTTGAAAAGATGCAGCGAAACACAGCTGTTGATTGTTTAGTAGGTTCCAAAAAACTGTTTCCTTGCTTTCTCATCAACTTGGGAAACAACTTTTTCAAAGTCCAGAAAACTGCAAACAATCTAAAAGTAATTATCAGTACTTTGGGTGTGTTCACAGTATGAAAGGTACCTTCACATCCAAATATTACAGAAAAAGACACAGCTAAGTATTGAACTTGTAAGACACTTAGAATTACAATTTCACTTATTAAAAAAAATGCAGCAAAAAAACTTACTTGTATGAGGTCTAAAATGCCAAGCTCACTTTCTGAAGAATCAACACAGAAGACAAAATACAAGGTAGCATAGTGTCGGTAAATTAATTTGTTATCAGATCCACCTATTAATCTAAACAGGGAAGAAAACAGGAAAGCTTAGTTAGCATCTCAGGATAAGCTGAGCAAATCCTCGCAGTTATTTCAGTTAATAGGAGACCTATTGTTAATGGCTGGCTGGAGCTTTCCCAAATGCAACTATATCACAACTTTTATTTTGTGATATAATTAGAATGGAGAACACTAAGTACCAAACCAAGTTACATTTACCACACAGGCATAATTATTGTTATCCATATGGATAACAATTACATCAACATATGCAACTTTTTATTAGTATCAATTCAAACAGATCATGCAGCTTCATCAACGAATAGGTATTAAATGTACCTCCATTACACATTAGTGTACACACTGTACAGGGATTAACCTGCTTTACAGATTAACAGAGAGTATGGCTGTGAATCCTTCCCTGCCCTTCTCAGAGTAGTATCAACAGAAAAAGAAAGCTATAATACAGACTGGCATTTGGATTATGGGAAAAGCCTTAAATCGAGTTTATGGTCCACTTAGTAAATATGTAATACTCTGTGCTACAAAATATTTGATACCTTGAGACATAAGACTGTACTACAACCAATAGCTTGTGATGCAATGTTAAAGTCACAGAAGCAATTAAATTTTTATGGACTCACTCATCATCAAGTTACTGAACAAGAAAGAGGTCAAAACAGATATTTCCTTCCACTCTTCTGTTATAGCCTTTGCAAAGAAAGTACATAAATCATAAAAAGACACGTTCTTGGGATCACTGATCTTTGCTGTGACCAGCAGGAAGCCCACTCAAGTAGAAATATGTTGTAGCCTGAACCTACATAGCTACAAGCATCATAATTCTCCCTTTATTCTGTACTAGAACTGAATCACCTTTTTGGTATATCGTAATTTATCCCTTCAGTTTCTGCCTTTAATATAGGGAGAGTATACACTGACAAATAAAAAAAAAATTAGAAATCTTTTAGGTCACTTTTGGTTAAGCACATTGCTTTGCATTGATGCTTGGGTGGGGGGAGGAAGAACTCTTTGTTCCTCAAGAGCAGGAACAACATTTAAGAAATATCAGACAAAAATATTACAAACAAATGGCAATTAAGTTTTCCTCTTTTGTGCTTTATATACCCAATTCTTTCAAATACTTCAGTACCCTGAGTTAGTATATATAAACTGTTGAGGCCTTTGGTTAAACTGCAACCTATAAAGTGATCCCTGTCTTGGAAAAAAAAAAAAAAAACTGAAAAAAATATATTGAAATGGTGACTAATTGAGCAGTAGAAGGAAAGCCAGAATTATGTCCCCCTAGTTTCTTTTTGTTGCACAGCTGTGATTTTTTTAAAAGGCTCTAAATCTAAATGGCTTCTGTCTTTGACTTACAGAATTCAAGCAAGCATGCTTCCAGCTTGAAATCATCTCCAAGAATCTAACAGAATCATCAGTCGAGTAGTTGGAAGAAAACTATCTTAGTTTAAAAAATAAAAAAAAAATCACAAATCATCTTGATCAGGAAAAAGACATCATAGCTGACAAAAGACAGAGAGGTATTTAACTGACTCTACACACAGAAAATTAAGGCATTAACATACTAACTTTCAGTAATCAGAGATTTCCATAATTACAGTATTAAATATTTGACAATCCCTATGTTTAAACTGGAGATCTTGAGCTTACTCCATCAATTATGATCCCTTTTCCTACAAGGTGGCTTTGTAATGACTTACTCTTGATGACTAATATTGCAAAATAAAACACTTCTCCATTTCAGAATTTCTTCTCTTCAACTAAAGCAAGACCACATTATAAAGAAACAACCAAGATGATTCAAGAAAAAAAATCTAGAGACAGAAGACATTAAGTCTGGCTCTCCTCCTACCTTGCTCTGCCTATATTAATAAAATAGCTTAGTTGAAACCACAACTGTTACCACATTTAAAACCTACCTTTTTTCTTCTAGCTTAATATAGCAAGCCTGAACCCTGACAAAAAGGCAAAAGGAAGCCTACTATGAGGGGCTGTCCACTCACACTTTAGGAGCTCAAGCCAAAGCAAATATTTCAATTGTCTCACTGGGCATGGCAAATGCCAATCCCTCTTCAAATGAGGCCAGAAATCTTTAGCTTGATTATAAGGAAACTGGTTAGGTACGATCTGCCTGTTTCTTCCCCATTTGTGTTCGAAACAATTATAGCAGTAGATATTACTTATTTCAAACTTGATACTTACAATCCTCCTTCTAGGAAATTACAGACATTTTCATCTCGTTTTGATACTAAATGGAAAGTTTCTCGGATAATTTGTTGCTGCGTATCTTCACTCTATGGAAGAAAACACATTTTGCTATCAAGTTAAAATGGATTAATTAACAATGCACAGCACACACAACTAAGAAATAGAACCCAAAGTCTATCAGCACACACAAACTATCTACTTCAGAAGCCTTAAATCTGCCAATTAACAGGCAGCATATTGTGTCACTTCAACACAAAAAGACATTTTTACAAGTAAAGTTGCAGAAGAATACGTACTGAGAAAGAACTGTGAAAGAGTGACTGGTTTTAAGAAACTGCTAAAAAAAAACCAAACAAAACCAGAACACACCAAAAAATAGTTTCTTCAAGTAACCGGGAAATCATCTCAAGTATTCTGAATTTTTTGTATTTCCACCGTAGTCTGAACAGCTACAGACATGCTTTGAAACGACTCTCACCCATGAACAGGGCAGGGAAACAGCCTCAAAATCTTGAAGGGAGTGGGGAAGCTAGAAATCCCACAATATATAACTCTTTCAGACATAGCTTAAAACGCAACAGCACCATGAGCAACAGCTTCTCCTAAATCATTAGATTTCCTTCTAGCAGATCAGAAACGTTACTTCTGAGTTTGAATTTGCTTGACTCTTCTAGAGTCCCCACTGTGACTCCATCATTCCTGCACACTTACTTTTGCTACCCTTCTATAAGAGCAGCATTTTTAACAAGCCTGTTCTTTCATAATAAGGAAAATGCAGATACAATTCCTAAAATCCTGCATTTGTTTTACTCCACAGAACCCTAAAGTTATCAAGCATAGATAGCCTCCATCCCTGCCCAAGCATATAAATCCACATTTTAAATCGTTATATGAACTAACACTCTAAGGAAAACTGGTATGTATCTTAAAAGCATTTTCAGCTAGAACCCTGCATGACTGCTAAGCAAAGCAAGCCTGGCATTGGTGTTGTTCACATTCATCACCTTAAATTCTCGTGTTGTTTTACATAAAACCTCTAGAATCCACAAAGACATCAGCAAATGGCTCCAGCAGAAGTAAATCGTTCCATAAACCACAGAACAAGAAAATGCAGGTTCCTCTGCTTCTATGGTTTGTGTTCCTAAATGTGCCTGCCTCACCCTGCTGCAGTTATGTCAGTTACTTCCATTTGTCTTTCTTCCTTAAGAAATCGAGATACCAAGTATTTAAAATAACCTTTGTTTTCAGAATCTGCCCCTATTCACAAAGTTGTTCAGAAGCTTATTTTTGATTTTGAAATTATGGCCACAAGTCTATATTGTGAAACACAAAACCAGATTACATATATCTTCCTATTTAATTGCCATAAATTATTATTTTTCTACCCAATTGCAAAAGATTATTAACTTCATTTTATGCAGTAGAAAATCGTCCCATTCTCATATATACTAGGGAAAAAATGTTACACACATTTTACAAGTTTTGGTACAATGAAGCAAATACCTCTTTCACAGATCTGACCATATTAATTTCTCTAGAAAGCACCAGATGCTTCCACTTGTAGAAAAGAACCTGATATTTACCTCCAGTATTGGTTCAATCAACACAAAAGTATGCGTAAGTTTCAAAAAGTCCATAAATAAACCTGTCTTATTGAAGTCACAAACAAAAAGATAATCAAGACAATTTTATCTGTTTCTGGGGACCATAAAGCTTTAGTGAAACCACCTAATAATGTAATTTCTTAGTCTCATTTGCTATTCACATTTTCAAAACTTCAAGGTGTTCTGTTTATACAAACGTATTACCCTACTTTAAGCATTGAGGATTTGTTCTAATTCCAGTTATGAAAGTAGTAGATTAGAATGGAGTTGACAAGGAAAATCTGGTATCTTCCTGCCATTCCCTTCTCCCCTTCTCCTGCCTCTTCTCCCTCCTAGGACTTTTCATTACTCAACACTAACAGAATACACAAAAAGATAATTACATTTGAACAGAAAATGAGAACAGAAGTAAACTGTTTGACATTAATCCAAGTTTTGTATACCTTTCTAACGTCTTTAATCTACCTATTTTTCATGCCTGTGGAGGTAACAATTAAAAAAAAGAAAAGGAAAAAAACCCCACCAAAATTCTTTAATAAGTTACTGTAGCTCTGCAATAGAACAGAGTAGGAATGCACATTAAGGGGAATGCTTATCAGTATGTGTAGGTGAGAATATTCCATTATTTCCATTATATCCATTAAACAAAAGACATCTGATTGGTAACCCAGAACTGATAAGGAAGAAGAAAACAGGTTCACAAACACATACTAGAATTTCCCAGTATTGCCTTTTTAAGGAGAAGGGATCAAATTTACCCATCCACAGCAGTGACCTGTATCAGTTACACTCCTTTAATTAAAAGCCTGACAGTGCAAACTGAAGTGTCAGGGTCATAATTTCTGTTCTGAGATGTAGAGGTAAGACACATCCCGTCCAATAAAGTTAAATATGACTTCCATAAGAGCCAAAATTGCAAGTAGCCAGAAACCCAAGTAAGTAATAACGCTAATGAAAGAGAATATTTTGTTTACATAGTTCTGGGAAGCACCAGGTTTTCTCCCCATGTTTTAATCCATATGGTCAGCTAAGCATAGCTTAGCCTACTCGCTAGGAAATACAGTACACGACCCACAACAGCACCTCAAAATCTCTTATCCTTGAATTAAACCAACTATTTCCATATTGTTTCTTAATTCCCCGTGGCTGCACTTTCTTTTCATTGATATCAAGTGCATGTGCTCCATTTTCAGAGCTGCCTTGCTACTTGCCTTCTCCCATGTGGAAGAATATACTATTCCCCTTTGTAACGTTTCTTTTTCACATCAACTGTATTTCTGCAGTACTCTGAAAGCCGCCAAAGGAAAAGCCTCTGCTTACTGAAAACCCAAGAGTCCCGCAAAACTCGTGTTCCCCGCTCTGACACCTCTGCCCCAGCCCGGAGACAGGCAGCCCTACACCACAGACCCCGAAAGCCAGGCTACACAACCGCTTCCATGAGTAAGTTCAGACAACGGGCTCCGCCGTTGAACGAAGACTCCCTCCCTTCACCTTCAGCCCCTACCGAAGGACAATTTCCAGTGAAAAGAACACTGGAAACGAGAAAACAGCTGGTGTTTGTTTTTCTTTTGTTCCGAAATCCCTTTTTCCTTGCTGCCGGCTCTCACACCGCCTCAGCACCCTCCATCTTACCCCCGTCCCAACACCACAGCAGCAGAGGCGCCGGGGCGGGGCCGGGAAGGGCCGGCCGAGCGGCTTTCCCCT